AGAGGGTAGGGGGGGCACAATTGTGCACAACAACAACAACAAACGAAGACAAGCCGATAGTAATGTGGGTTCTTTCACACTGCACCTCTATCGTCCACGCCCCTGTTTTCCACTATTCCACTGTGCCTCATTCGCCCCCAGCCCCCACCCCGCCTCAAGGTGAACGCAGTGTATCAGAAGGTGAGATTACCTGGGAAGTGTGGAGGTGCCCAGGCTTAGTGCAACCCTACAAGATTTCGCCGACTTTTCCATTTTTTTCCCCATAATGCTGGCAACATTAAATGATCAATTAAGTGATATGGATCACTGGTTTTTAACAAAGCGCGTACTGTTGAGTAAGGGGGTTGCTTTAAGGCCATTGATATTACGAAGGACATTCCAAAAACCAACTGTGGATTTTTTTCGGTGCGGGAAGGGGTTGGGGTTGGGGTCAAAAGCTTCCTTCAAGCAAACTTTATTAATTTTTAGCATTTTAACGTCCAAATTTTCCCAAATGCAAAACAATTTATACCAATCTCGTCACAGGAGGCATTTAGAAATTTTTAGATATATGGCTTTACATTATTTTCTTTTCTTTACTTTCTCCCAGTAGAAGAGGATGATGATGCACTAAGGATAGTGGTCGCTGTGCGATACAAACTGCTTAGCAAGAAAAACGCACCTGAATGTCCTCTAAAGCAGCCAAAAGTAATCGTGTCGCGGTTTTCGCTGGTTTTTCTAATTTAGTATGGCGGAATTTTTGGAAAACAATCTGACAACACAAGGCCTCATTCTGCCCCATGTTCTCCCCGCTTCAGCTGTTATTAAGACTCGGTGTTCTCAAAGTTTGTCTGTAAAGACAAAGGGACGAAGACTTGGGGCAGACACACACACGCACAAACAGGCTTTTGTCCCAAACTCCCAGGCATGGTATTCAGGACCTGATCGGACCCTTGTGGTGGTAGCAGTGGCCGTGCAACAGCTGACAGGAGGAGCCAGGAACAGCTATCTGTGGACAGTGAGTGAGCAAAAGTCTCTTGAACCTTTTTTGTCTTTGCCTGTTTGTCAACTCAGCAGCACTGCTCGTATACATGTCTACTCTTCAACAGAGAGAGAGAGAGAGAGAGAGAGAGAGAGAGAGAGAGAGAAA